GCACGCACGCACGCACGCACGCACGCACGCACGCACGCACGCACGCACGCACGCACTCACAGACGCATGCACCCGGACACGATGCCACAAGCAGCACGTATCATCTCCAAAACCCGGGAACACCTGTTAATCGCGATGCTCGCAGGTTACAGCACCATCCACGCATCCTAAATTGCGTGCAATTAGTGCTGGGATCGCACGCGCACGCACGTACGCACGCACGCACGCGCACGCACGGAGACCGTTAGTGGTGTTGAGGTGCGAGTCATCGCTCGCGGAGCAGGAGAGAAGGGAGGGGGACAAGCACACATCTAGATCGTGCTCCGGACGTAAACCGGCAAGGCTGCTGACCTCGTTGTAATCAACGCTAGAATCGTTGCACATTGCGCAAATCGTCGCCATCTCCTGCACCACCTCGTAATCGTGGCAATTCACTTTCTTTCCGTTATCGCTCCTGCGGAGGGAGGGATCCGAACGGGCACACGTCAGAGAGAAATAAAGAGAGAGAGAGAGCAACAAGAAGAACGAGAAGAACAGCCGGAACAACGAGAACAACAACAACAACGCATAACACGCGCGCCGAATGCAGACGAGATTAAAAGTATCGAATAAGGAAGGCACGCTAACGTTTACAGCTAAAGATGCCTCTAGGCAACATTTCAACCGCAGCAAGAAAATATAAATCGCATTACACTGATAACGCTAAGTAAAGCTACCACGTTTAAACATGCCTTAGGAACACGGCTGTTTGAAGACTGAAAATCAAAAAACTGCTACACGACGGCTAGCGATTTTTCTACGCGATCGCGGCCGCCCGCGTGGCTACTCGTAAGATGACTGGAGTCGCGCTAGCTTGCATGCCGTACGTGGCGGAGGGGAACGCGCAATCGTGGCGTATGCAGCGCCCCCTAGAGCTGCTGCACTATACTCACACTTCTCCGAGCGGTTCGTAGGTGGAGCCAGAGATGTCGAACTGGTGGAAGCTAGCGTTGTCGCCCTCAGCGCTCTCGCAGATGAAGAACTGTAGCGGCGGAAAACAAGAGAACGTTACGCGGACACGACGCGAGATGACCCACCGAGGGGGCGCCTCTGCAGTGTGGCAAAACCCGGGTCTTAGCTGTACCCGTGCCCGTGAAACACTGGTCTCCGTAGCTCCCGTGATTGCGAAACCCTGGTGTGATAGAGGGGGCGAGCACCGGCCTTTGTGGATATGAGTGGGCGTGGCTTTGTTGGAAGAGGAGCAACGGCCTTTGCTGGAAGTAGGGAGCCGGCTGGCCTTTGTGGTAAGAGTTGAGCGTGGCCTTTGTTGGAATGGAGGGAGCCGGCTTTTGGGAAGAGGGACCGGCCTTTGTGGAAGAGGAGCGTGGCCTTTGTGTGATTAGTAGTGAAGCCCGGCTTTTTGGAAGAGGGAGCCGGCTTTGTGGAATGAGTTGGAGGCCCGGCTTTTTGTGGAAGATGGAGCCCAGCCTTTGTGGATAGAGTAGAGCGTTGGCCTGTGATGTAGTGTTATTATTGCTCCTTGGTCTTTGTTGTGTATTAGTTATTGGCCCCGGCCATTTGTGAAGAGTGAAGCGTGGCCTTTGTGAAGAAAGGGAGCCGGCCTTTGTGGAAGAGAAAGCCCGGCCCATAAAAATGTGGAAAGAGGAAGCCCAGGCTCTTGTGGAAAGAAGTGAGCACCGCCTTTGTGGAAGAGAGAGCTCGCCTTTGTGAAGAGGGAGGCCCGGCCTATGTGGAAGAGGGAGCACCGCCTTTGTGGAAGAGTGATGGCGTGCCATTGATTGGAAGAGGGAAGGCGCTGGCCTTTGTGGAAGATGTGCTTGGACGCTTGCGGAAGTCGTGGGTGGTGGGGAGAGAGGATCTATGGGGCCTATTCAGTAATATGATACTATGAATACGCCACGGTACACGAACTGCATGGGCTACTTTGAAGCCTTAAATTGGCGGTGATTGTACAATGAAATGATGAATGCGATGCATCCAAGTTGGGTATGGATGAGTATATGTAGGCAGTTGTAAAAGATAGTAGTGCGGATCGGGCGACTGAATTGCGTCGTGTGTTTTGTAAGTGTGTGGCACAGAGTAAAATTAGAACAGTAGATGGCTTGAGACTGAGACTGGACAGAGAACCCCACTGCAACAGAAGCTGGATGAGTTCGGTGAAGGCAGCTGTCTAAGGTAGGGAGGCACTCGAGCAATGCAATCCTGATAGATAGAGACACCCAATCATTTTATCTATATCACACTCAGCAATGCGTGGACATACACATACACTCCGCAGTTAATTCAGAAACACCATAACACGCCACCTAAAACCCACACGGCAGTGTGATTAAATGCGTACAACGCATGCGCACCATGCACACATCACTAATTTATGGCATTCACAGCCATATAGCGGCCACGCATTGTGAATACACTGTGAAGTCCAACGCTGACAACACCAACAATGGCAGTAACCTGCGACTAATCCACTCTCACTTCACAGAATGAATTGCATATCGCACGCTCACCACCAGACCTTATATTGTGGGCTCATTCGGCTTGTCATCGCCGATCTAGGGCACACTGCTCGTTTCGATCATCATGTCACTGTTGTTTAAGCCAGCGTTTAATTACGTATTGACACGCCAGACATTTTCTACTATCCCTCATCGTTGGCAAGGTTTCCGCCAGATCCATCAACTGG